TGTGGAGTTTCCGACAGAGATCGAGACGCTGCTAGCGAAGTGTCCGAAGTTCGCGTTGCCGATAGAGAGGAGAAAGTTGCCTCTCTTTAAATATATAGCGGACGGAGAGGAGCTTGTACAATCTCTCAAAAACAAAGAGCAACAAGAAGAGGCGCGGACCAAGTTCTCTTTATTAGTTAAAGCCTTTAAAACTTCGAATAAGGAGAATGGGATGGATCGTGCAATAATGGACACTGTTGAACAGACTAAAAAATTTTTGAAGAAAAATGACAATATCTTAATCTTAAATTCGGACAAAGAAAACAAAACGGTGGCAATGGAAAAAGAAGACTACAAACAAAAAATGGAGAACATATTAAAGGAAGGAAATAATTACAGGATCCAACCTCGAGGCTACAGACAAAAAATAACGAAATTGTGGAAAAACTGTATAAGATGGAACTTATCACCCGGATAGAAAAGACAAAATTGACGACGACGACGGCACTACCACCACGGATATATGGATTACCGAAAATTCATAAGGAAGGAACACCACTTAGACCCATTTGTTCTTCAATAGGATCCCCATCATACGAACTATGCAAATACATTATTGAAATTTTGAAAAGGATTACTACAAACTCGACCTATAACATTAAGAACTCGGTAGAGTTTAAAGACAAAATTAACGACACATATATTTGCGATGACGAAAGATTAATTTCATTTGACGTAGTATCCCTGTTTCCCAGCATTCCTATAGACCTTGCATTGGACATAATTAATAATAAATGGACGATATTGAAAGAACACACTTAAATTCCTAGTAAAGTATTTCTGGACATAGTTAAATTCTGTATTCAAGACAACCGATATTTTAAATATGAAACTAAATTATCCATACAGTTAAAAGGAATGCCAATGGGATCACCCGCCTCACCGGTAGTTGCTGATATTGTCATGGAAACTTTATTACAGAACACGATGGAGAAATTAAGACGACCCCCGAGACAATTGACGAAATATGTGGACGACCTTTTTGGAACAATTAAAGAAGACGAAATAGAAAATACATTGACCACCTTAAATGCCTTCAATAATAATATTAAATTCACGATGGAACTAGAAAAGGACAATTGCATAGCATATTTAGATACAGTCGTAATTAGACGTGGAAACGAACTAAAATTAAAATGGTATAAGAAACCCATAGCATCAGGACGAATCATCAACTTTAACTCTCGACATCCAAAAATGATGATAAGTAATACAGCCAGCAGCTGTATAAATAGGATGCTAAGGATTTCAGACGCAATTTTCCACGAAGAAATAATCAACGAAATAAAAACCATATTGACAAATAATGACTTTCCGAAACACATGATTAAATCTTTATTGGACAAATATTTGAAATCAGACTACAATCAAAGACCACCAAAAAAAGAACGGACCTACATCTCGGTTACATATGTACCTGGACTTTCAGAACGCCTTGCACAGTCTGATTGCTATGGCAAAGAAAATAGTTTAATAACCCACAAACCCGACAACACACTAAAACAAATCTATACTAATCTATACTAATATTATAAAGAGGTAAAATTTGTTTGTTTGTTTGTTTGTTTGCAGGGAATAGGCTCCGGAACTACTGGTCCGATTTAAAAAATTCTTTCGCCGATAGAAAGCTATATTATCGTGGAGTTAAATAGGCTATAATTTATTTTGAAAAAAACTAGGGATCCGTAAGAAAATTGCAATATTGTCGCATATAAAGTGAGTTGCTACCTCATCACACTGACAAACACGCTCGCATAGCATTTTAACTCAATTTTTGTGTTCACTGTGAAATTGTGAAAAAAAAAGAATTTTTATTCAATTTAAGTTGAACTGTGAAAATTATGTGGATCGTGCATTTGAGGATAAATTCACCACTCTGTCCATAGTCCAAAATGCTTAGAGGACGACGTGCAAACATTGGCCGCAGACATCCAAGCCAGCAACAAGTATATTCACAAAACTTAAGCGAAGAAAGACAAATGAGCACATGGAGATCATTGGCATCATTCAATCGCTTGGCATTCCAATATGACCCCACTGCGAACTACAGTGATAATGAAAATTTAGATATTGGACCAATGGCGACTATATACCGATATTGCAGTGCGTTAAAGTTTAAAAGAGAAACGGCTGGATTGTGCTGCGCAAGTGGAAAAGTCAAACTGGAAAAGTGTTAAACCACCATCTTTCTATACTTCCATATATTTGAAAAATGTTGCAACATTGACTTTTATGTTGTTAAATTGTGTTGACCAGCGAAGCGGACACAGGACCTCTAGTATTTAATAAAACTAAATCAAAAATCGCTCCCACAGACAAAAAAGACATAGTGTACCGAATACCGTGCAATGGAGATGGCACAAATATTTGCAATAGTATTTATATAGGTACGACCAAATCAAAATTAAAAACTAGACTGTCACAACATAAATCTGATTTTAAATTAAGACACCAGACGAATACACAAAAAAACAGCACTCATGTCCCACTGTGCCAAACAGGGACACTCTCCGAACTTTGAAGAGACAACTATCTTGGCGCAAGAATAACACTACAGGAAGCGCTACATGATGGAAATGTTAGGGGAGATGTGGGGGTTGTGGGCATAGTTTTGTTTTTGGCTTATAATTACCGAACTAGTGCATATTATTTGGACTTATGGGTATCTGTGTAAAGCTAGAGACCTAAGCTAACTAATTATGAAGAAACATACTTGATTTTGTCATGCGAAAAAATTTCATATGGACTTTTGTAAAATCGTAATTTTCAGCTAAAATTTTTTTTGGGGGGTTGTGGGCACCCTGGGAAAAAATGCTGCAAATGGAATAATATGGAAAAAAACCCGCAACCAATATCAACAAAATTACAATTTATTTATTTCAAAGACTACATAGGCGTTATTTATCGTCGGAAACGCAATTTTGACATGTATAATGACTGCCCCGCATGTCCACACATTTCGGATGAAAAGCTCGATCGCAGATGTCACAATTGAGTGATAATCCCTCTCAGCGGGAGAGGATCCTTTTCCAAGAGCCTAAGATTTCTACAAGAATGTTCTAGAGGGTTCCAAACAAATTTTGAAAACAATTTTACAAGAAATTGTAGGTAATAAAAAAATTTGTCAAAAAAAAACGGGTGCCCACAACCCACCCAATTTTGGTGCCCACAACCAACTTTCGCAGACATTTTAAGAAGTAATTAAAAAATGTGTTTGCATAAATTTTTTGGTTCAAATCGATATTGTTCCATTTAGTATATGGCTTTGACTAAATAAAAATGCATTACACTTACCTTTTTAATCGATTCACTTTAATTGATACACTATTGAAAATCTTTGAATAAAGTTTCACCACCTTTTCCAAGCAAAAGAAAAACCAATTCGTTAATTTCAAAAAGCAAACGCGTTCGTTTACTTTGATATTTGGCATAAATCATACATAGGGTAATTGCTTGCGAATGACATTACCAAAAAAATTCAATCTTCATTTTGTGAAAATATACGTAGGGGTGCCCACAACCGACCCATGCCCACAACCCCCACTTCTCCCCTACATATAATCAAAACGCCGACAAACATTAGGATGAACTACAAAACGGACACAGAAAACTGCGCGCATATATATAGACATTTGTAAGGGAAGTAGGTTTAGTTTATAACTCCACGTCACTTGGCGCAGACGTGTCAAAAGTATGTAAATATTTTAATTGTAACAAAAAAGTGTATTTTTGATGTTGATTGTTTTTTGTTTTCGATTAGTTGCCCTGAAGACGGTTGCCGATGAGCAACCGAAATATATTGGTCAAAAAACATAAATTGTGTTTTAAATATCACCCAGACCTTGAGCCGGCAAAACACCAAATATAAAAAAAAAAAATAATAAATAAATAAAAATAAAATTAATGGAACAAAATTTGTTAATCGTTTTTATTATCATATTGACATGACTAACCAATTTATATAATAAATTTCATGAGAAACAAAGTTTGACTTTTTTAAAAACTTCGACTTTGGTATCTTATGAAATCTTTCCTCTCTATTGTTTTTTCTGGTCTTTAATAACCGTGCACATGTGCACGAGCTGTTTTATTACGCCTTTTAAACTACCTGTTGGGTCAATAAGCATTTTCATTTACCATTACCTTTGGTGATGTCCAAATAAAATAAACCGCACTAATTTTCGTTAAATATGCACTTATTTATTTTAACGGCACCAAGGCCTTAATACACAAAGTTAATATCTGTTGTACGGGTTGCTTAGGCAAGCAGACCCATTTGTCTGTGCCTTTTTTACAGCGAAAGTATGTTGGTCAGGCAGACCGATTTGTCTGAGCCTTTTCAGTCGCGAAAGTATATAAGCCGAAAGGAATGGGCAGGCGATCAGCGACCGTGTCTTCTGCTGGCGAGTACCAAATCGAACTATATTGCTGCTTGCCGTGAACAAAGAGCCAGGCAGCGATAAGCAAAAGTGCAACAGGAGTTAGCAATTACAATATTGGACAGTGTTGCCGCCCAGGGAAAACAGAAAAACGTTAAGATTTAAAATTGAATCATTCGAGTTAGGCATCGGCATGGCCGAACACTACCTATTTAATTTATTGTTTTTTTTTTTTTTTTTGAAAAGGTACGTATTTTTTTCAGTCAAAAATTTGCAAGGCTGTTAAGGACTGGCCCCAAAAAGCAAAAAAGATTTTCAAGCTTCCTCGCAAAAACTTTACAAAAGTTCTTGTACATTGTGCATTCTACTTGTCGTACATTTTTTTTTACAAGAATACTTTTTTGTAACAAAGAGTTAAACTTTAATACGAATTTAATTTTATTAAAATTAGAAGACTTTAATATATTATATATATTATACAATTAAAAATTTGTCATAACTTAAGAAGAAGATTATACGTATGGTTATATCTAAAACACCGTTGAAGAGTCGTTAAAAACCAATTATCTTCTTTAATTTCAGGATGTAGATGACCTTAATTTGACACTTTTGGGTACATCTATAAATGTCTTTCGTTTAAATTCTAAACGGAGTACAATAAATCGATTGCAAAAAGTAAAAAAACAACACCCAATGGATATGCCACCCCCTTATCCTAACGGTTGGTATGGAGTTCTCGAATCGGCCAAACTAAAAGCAGGGGAAGCTACTTTTGTGTCATGTTTAGGAGAAGAGTTAGTTATCTTTCGCACTCAAAAACATAAAGTTTTCATTCTGGATGCATATTGCCCCCATTTAGGAGCCAACATGGGTATTGGTGGAAAAGTTATAGACGATTGTATTGTATGCCCATTTCATCAATGGAGTTTTCGAGGCTCAGACGGAGATTGCACAAATATTCCATATAGCACATCAGGTATGTTTACAAAACAAACCATTTACTAAACAAGTCTTGGTTTGAGATATTCTATAACATTTATTTATTAATATTATTAGGTGGCACTACAACCCGATTCGGGTTTTGGCCGACCTCAGCGTCTCTCTTCAGGCACATACTCTTCGCGCGCCTCCTCCAATCGGAAATACCCAGTGCAGTCAGGTTCTCTCCCACTTTGTCCTTCTATCGGAGCTTTGGTCGTCCCCTTCGTCGTCGCCTGGAGTCGATCCTCGCTTCAATCCATACGCACGACGTGGCGGAGCCAGCGCACGTCACGTCGTCGTACAACTAGTACAGTTCGTGGTTCATCCCAATGCGAATGTCGTCCCCAATCCGAACGCGACCAAAGATCTTGCGAATAATTTTTCTCTTGAGCACTCCAAGCACTGCTGCATCCGTCATTGACATTACCCATGCTTCTGCGACATATTATTATTATTATTAGGGGGGAGGGGGTAAAGATTACCTCGACCCATCTGGATCTATTGTACCCCCTATCTGAGCTTAAAGCTCACCCATCAACCCGGCTCCTTCGATAAAGTTTAGGAGCTTTTTTGGGTCGATGCTTCCTGGGGTCCCAAGTGTAATGAACCTGGACCCGAGAGTTCTACTCCTCAGGCTACTTAGTGCTGAGCAGTCTGATATTATATGTAGGGAGGTTTCATCCTCACTATCACAGAATCTGCATGTATTTCTGTTTTCAATCCCTATATTACATAGGTGTTTCCTTAGTTTGCAGTGTCCGGTTAGTAAACCAGTAACCACCCTAAGTGAACTCTTCCCTAATGGTATAAGCTTCTTAAACCTCTTTATGTCATAATTGACAATGAGGGTTTTGGCTTGTCTTTGGCCTGTGGTGTTATCCCAGTAGGTTTGCCTCATATGTACCTCTTCCTTTCTTAGGTAATCTTTTATTGTGTGTCTGCCTATGCCACAGTTTTGCTAGCCTGTCGGCTAGTTCATTCCCGGATATGTCTTTGTGTCCTGGAATCCATCTTAAGGACAACCTGTTGTTGCTGCCCAGAATGTTTAACTTTGTTCTTACTTCTCGAACCAGCTTCGAGGTGATTCTATTACTGCAGAGTGCAGTAATTGCCGCTCGACTGTCCGAAAGGATCGCAATGTCCTTGTTTGTGTACCCACGCTCCATGTTGAGCTCTGCATACCGTCCTATGGCGCAAACTTCAGCTTGGTGTATTGGCCTAACGATTCATGGTATTTGATTCGTGGTCCTACTACTCCAAGGCCAGTTCCTTGGTGTGTTAAAGACCCGTCCGTATACCATGCTATAGTGTGACTCGCCATGGAGTGTACTTCCTTCATGATGGTCTATTCTTTCTTGTTGCTCAGATGAGCAGAGAAATTTTTTTTTTTAAAGATAAGATAAGATAATTCTACTGTCATTTCGTCCCTGGGGTGTGAGCTCAGGGGAAGTTCGACTAGTAGTTTTGCTGCATCCCTAGAACTGAGGATGCGGTCACTGCCATTCCCACAAGAAGTGATTCTTATTAGGGTGGCCTTTCGCTGTAACTCTACTACGCAGTGTAGCGGAGTGAGTTCCATGAGAACTTCCAGTGCCGCAGTGGGGCAGGTTCTCATTGCTCCTGTCATACATATGCATGCCAGTCTTTGCAGCCTTTAGAGCTGTTTCTGTGCGGTAACGAGCCTTGCTCGTTTACCCCAGGCTACTGACCCATATGTGAGTATTGGCCTCACAATTATAAGGTATAACCATCTGATAATTTGGGGTGAGGTCCCCCAAGATTTCCCTGCAATTTTCCGACAGGTGAAGAGAGCCCTGAGGCACTTATCCACTGTCTTTTGCATATGGGTTGCAAACGTTAGCGTTCTGTCGAAGGTAACTCCGAGGTACTTAACTTCCCAGCTTATTGCTACGGGAGTACCTAGTAGCATGTTTGTACTTCTTTGTAAAAGGAACAATGACTGTTTTTGCGGGGTTGACGTTAAGCCCAACTTCCCTGCACCAGTCGAGCGTTATCTTGAGTCCGAGTTGGACAATATCGCAAGGCGTTTCTTCAAAGTTCCCTTTGGCTACTATTACTATGTCATCGGCATAGCCCTGACATTGTATTCCTCTGTCGGAGAGTTTCTTTAGTAGTTCATCTACTAGTAGGCTCCACAGTAAAGGAGACAAGACTCTACCTTGCGGACATCCTCTGCTTGTGGCAACGGTCATTGTGCTGTTGCCAATGGTCGCCATTGCCTGCCTGGAGCTTAACAAGGCTCCAATACACCTTCTTGTTGTCGCGTCTATATTCCTTCTGGCGAGGGCATCATGCGACGCATTTTCAAAGGCTCCCTCTATATCCAGAAAGGCGCAGATTGCAACTTCTTGGTTGTCCACTGCCCCTTCAAGAGTGTGACAAAGTTGGTACAGTGCAGTGTCCGTTGAACGACCTGCCCTGTATGCCTGCTGCGTGGGTTGCAGTGGACAGTCCTTAAGAACTGTGCTCCTAATATGGTAGTCTACCAGCTTTTCCAACGTTTTAAGGCAAAAGGAAGTTAAGCTGATAGGTCTGAAGGACTTTGGGTTGATGATGTCTTTCTTCCCTGCTTTGGGGATGAAGACCACCCTAGCTCTACGCCACGCATTTGGGATGTGTCCAATTGCTAGGCTGCTCAGGATCAGTGTCCTTAAGCGGGTTAGGGGTAAATCCAGTCCCTGCTGCAGGAATGATGGTGAGATACCATCCAGACCAGGTGACTTAAATGGTTGGAAGGTCCCAATTGCCCATTTAAGTCTCTCCGGGGAGACTAGAGACTTGGCAATTGCCCAGTCCTCTACGCTTGGTCTGAGGTGTCTCGGAGTGGACGTTTCTTCCGCCAGGGGTGAGCTCCCAGGTGTAGGAGATAAGTAGTATACATACATATAAGCACCTATACATCACACATTTGTAAATACACACAACATAATTATCTATAAGCATATCTGTAAATTATCTCTAAGCTTTAGCAACATGTTGATAGGATATATGCATACACACAATAAAGATCATTCGCATTTTGACTGTCAACGAGAACGCGTAATATTAATTGAGCTGCCCACAATTTCAGAAGTGGGATAAATACCTAAAACCTACAAAAAGTGCGATTTTCTTTTTTTCTTCCACCATCCTAAAAGTATTTAAAGAACAATTTGCAAGTGTGTGGTATGAAAGGTGTGGACCCAAGAAAATACTCAGTTGAACAGTTAAAAAATTGGCTGGGCCACCTAAAATTATTCACAAATGGCCCCAAAACTACGCTAGTTGCTCGCATAAATCGAGTCCCAATTTCGATTCGGGGTAGCCAACCGCCGTTAGTTGTGAAAGCGCTTCAGGAAGAACAACGAAAAGAAGCTGAACACAAAATGGAAGGACAAAGTGAGAATTTCACAACAGGCGACGATCAGGCGCCGACGTGCAGTAACGCAAAGAACAACGACGCCAGCAACAACAACGAAATTTGGACTTGCGAGGAATTGCGTGCGAGTAAAAAAGAAAACGAGCAGATAGAAGCAGACGAAGTGAGTAGCCAGAATGACGAACTACAGAAATTAAAGGAAAAAATGGAACAGTTACTACAGGAGAATGAGGGATTGAAAAATACCGAAAAAGAGAGAGAACCAGTGGGAGCAGGAAACAAGGAGAGCGTGATGCTAATGAGTGCTAGCTCTGTGTCGCTAAACATCATCAAAGACATGTTGTCAGAGTTTGACAACAAGTCGTCAGTCAACATTTGGGTTGCACAGCTTAAAACTGTTGCTGAAATACACAACCTAGACGACAACATGTTGCGGCTGCTGATCATGACGAAGTTGAAGGGCGAAGCACTAACCTGGTTGTACGATACCAATGACCGACTCAGTTTCTCAATAAACGAAATTTTGAATCAAATGGTAGCAAAATTTGGCACAAAACAAAACAAGATGTGCTTGAGTTTGAGAAACGCAATTGGCTCGTAGAGGAGAATTTTGCCGCGTATTATCATTAAAAAATTTCGCTGGCCTCACAAATTCAGTTGGATGTAGAAGAACTCCTGGACAACATTATAGAGGGCATCCCAGACGACCATCTACGTCAGCAGGCACACATGCAGTGTTTCAAGCAGCCGGCTCAGATGCTGAAAGCATTGGAAAAAATAACACTCCCGAAGAAGGCAGCGACATCGGTGAATTTGGAGAAGGCGAAAGGCGATGGGCAGCGTTTAAAAGCAGCAATCCGCTGCTATAATTGCAACTCCTTGGGCCACTTCGCAGCAGAGTACCGAAAACCAAAGAGGGAATACGGGGCTTGTTATGGATGTGGCAGCTTGGATCATCGCATTGCTACATGTGATCGGAAGAAGAGGTCGAACAACGAATTTGTAAGGTATTTTAAGTTACAATTTAAAGCAAAAATTAAAATTAGCATTTTCGCAGCGTGTCTCAACGATTCAGGGAGCCCGATCAGCTTCATAAAAATATCATGTTTAAGTGAATATTTTAAAAAATACAATAATAATGTTAATCAAGTTGAAAAGACAAATGTTAGTTTTGATAATTTTGATGATCTGAAAAATCATTTAAATTTTGATGTTTTTGAAAAACCTGTTAAAAATGATGAAGAAAATTCTTATTTCTTTGGTATAAATAAAAGTAAATTAAATATCTTCGATAAAATAATTTGTTTTATGCCTGGTAAATATAGAGAAATTAAAATGTTTGTCGTGGCAGACCAATCGATGAGTTATGATGCAGTGTTAGGAAGAAATTTTATTAAAGCATTTAATTATAAATTGACAAGTTCAATAATCAATGATAAAGAATATATATCAAAGGAGTGCCCTGAATTTCCAAATTATAAGACAGATGAGTTACAAAGTATAAAGTTAGACAAAGAGTGCCCAAATGAGTGTTTAGAAAATGGGTGTTTAGAAAATGAGTGTTTAGAAAATGAGAGTTTAGAGATTAAAGAAAATGAGC